AAGGTCTCTTTATCTAAAAATAAACATCAAGTATCTTTATCTGAAGATGAACATAAGGTCTCTTTATCTAAAAATAAACATCAAGTATCTTTATCTGAAGATGAACATAAGGTCTCTTTATCTAAAAATAAACATCAGGTCTCTTTCGATGACGAAGAACCCATTTTGAGACTAATAATGCTTGGGGACGGCTTGAATGGGTAATGAAGAAAAACTTTAATATAAGTTTAATATAACAGCAAATGTACAACGTTTCGACAAGGTTTTGTCATCATCAGGTACATTTGCTGTTATACTAAATTTATATTAAAGTTTTTGTTCATTACCCATTCAAGCCGTTTCCAAGCATTATCAGGTCTCTTTATTTGAAAATGAACTTAAGGTTTTAACTTAGAAATGAACATAAGATCTCTTTACCTGTCAGCAAGAACTCTGATGATTAAATTTATAAAAAAAAATTATTCATAAAAAATGTGGTTATTTATGGTTCTTTTTATATTTTAGGAAAAAAGACTACAGTGTCATGTTAATGATACTAAAATAAAATGAGAAGAACTCTTATATCTAAAGACATAGTTTTATAAGAAACAGGTAGCACTTCCATCATTGGATCTTTTGTGTCTGTTTTATTTTCAAATTAAAAAAAATACAAAAAATATATATTTCATTGCAAATGCACAACTGTTGCTCTCACACCGGATTTACTTGTATTTGAAATTTACAATTAATTGCTTGATTTTTCTTTTACTTGTGACGGATTTATTATTATATATTTACTTTAATATTGACGTTTGTTTAGATTAAATTCATATTTAGAAACATACATAGCTTATACTGTTAAATGTGTATTGCGAAACTCCCGCCTATTCTCTAAAGTTGTTCTCCAGTGTAAGAATCAACAATATACGTGTGTACGTAAACGCCAGTGTAGCTTTGTATTGTTACGTAATCTGAATTTTTGAGAAACTCCCCACACGACTATAAATATAACCAACGCGATGCGCCAAAAAACAGTATCTATTATTGGCTTGATATAGTTGGTGTACTATAAACTTCGGTAGCTATAACTGTGATTAGCGCTTATTAATCGGGAAACTTCAGATATTTGACCAGGAACGTTTATAAATTGCGAACATTACAAAACATTTAACTTCAGTGGATTCACATCGGACATTAATACTTTTACGAAAATATTACCTAATGTCATCGGAAGAAACTTGACCTGCAATCGGCGTGTGATCAGAAAGAACTACAGGGCTAGCTAGCTCCCTATTAAGTGAATTATACCTATATCAACTCGAAATTAACTCTCTAATCGTGAACCCTCGATAAGACATCAGGAAAGTTCCAGACTAGAAAGAAGACTTTATATTACTTATAAGTTTGTAAAACTTTTGTATATAAATCATTGTTTGTAATAACCATTTCAAATACCTGTTATGGTAAATTATATTATTGTTTGTGTATTAAGATATATTTGTATTAAAAAAGAAAGAAGAAAACTGTGTATATCAATTTTGTTGGCAAATATCATAAATGGGTACATATCAGCATATTTAACTACTAAATCTAAATTACAATTTAACTCAGTTTCAGACCATTCGAAATTGTAATACGTAACATACTGACACAAGGTCAGGCGATATGATCTCGCTGTCGCAATGTTGCCTTGATCACACCACATATATAAGGTTCTAGTTTGAAATTAAACTATGAAAACAACACAGGCATTGCTTTTTTATATTCATATTTCAATTTAAATTACTATTCTGATAAAACAAATAAGAAAATGTGTTGATTTTACTCTTTACTGTGGACTATTTAAAATGGGTTTATTGCACTGGAAAAGACAGTTACAAGTACAATCTGTGACAGTTAAAACTTTCTCAGTGGTGCATGCACCCAGCTTTTTAAAGCAATTCCAGTATCTGTGAACATGTGAATAAAAAAAAGGATATGACTTGATAAAAATATAATTTATAAGAATAACATTATTATTCTGAGAACAAGAGATATTATTTATTGAATGAATGAGCAGAGATAAGTGTTTCATCCCAAACAATTGAAATAACTATTCATCCTTTACCAATGTGATTAAACCAAAAAACAGAAACACATTATGAAGAAATTTAAAATATAGAGACCAATTTGCATATAAAATTGCTCTGCGTCTTACTCAGAAGTGATTTTAGTTGCTTTTAAGTTGTTTGAAAAAAAAAAGTGTTTGTGTGATTATCTTATACAACATAAGGTACATTTTATGAAGTCCAAAAAAACAACATAAAACAGACTTACTATGTGCTACAGATCGCATAAAAAATGTGTAAAATCAGTATCACACTGCCCTTCAATAAACTAAAAATTAATTATTAGCTATTCTAATGTTTGTAGTTAAGTCACGAAACTACACAAAGGGCTATTTGTGCTCTGCCCACCACGGGTATCGAAAGCCGGTTTCTAGCGTTGTTCTTAATTCTATATAGAAATTATGTTGAAAACAGGCTTATATAAATCATTAGCAACTAAAATTGTGTAACATTAATCATTAATATATCCTAAGTTATCTCTTCATTATGAACATTGTCATGACAGTATATGGGCATTAGAGGCGTTGCTAGGCACTGGCACACGGGTCTTGTGCCCCGATTCTAGTTGACAGTGCCCCGAATCTCCAGTTGGTGCCTTGAAAAATCAGAATAGAAACCCATAATTGAGAACATATTGAAACATCGAAAATTCCCTCGCCTATGGGCCCGAGCCACGAATCTTTCAAGCACCTAGCGACGCCTCTGCTGGGCACATTTATGACTATGGTAACTATACTGAAAACTTTGTCATTCATGCACATCTTATACCTTTATGGTTACTTGTCTAACTTCTTCCAAACAAGTCTAATTAGATGTATATGTATATACATTTATTTTTGTATATTAAAAAATGAGATCTAAAATGACCAGGTAATCTTAAAACCAATCTAAGTAATTTAAGTAATTTTTATAACTAATCACCAAACAAGAGTGGCTTTTAACAAGTGTATTTTGTAATGCATGTGGCGTAAAGCTTAAAGATTCTTCTGTGATTACCAGTGCGCTATGTAAAGAAGATAATTAAGTATTAACGTTGATCAAGCACCCTGTAGATATATTTGACTTTTTAAGTGTCTAAGGCTTGTGGTATTGGTCACGAGCGTATAGCATGATTCTAATTTGGAAGGAAATGCATATCATAAAGATAAATGTATATGTTAAATAACTTAAACCAACATTCTCAAGTTAAAACTATACAAAAGATTAAGTTGAATAATACATGGACGTAACATAACCAGTTTTTTTTCTAATTAGTGAAACAAATCTACTTCTTAAATAAACTTAATAAAGTTTAGTTCTTTTTAATACTTTTCATTTTTCAACTTTGTTATTTACATTTTTCCTTGTTAGTAAATCAAGAGTATATATTAATCACCAACAGTAAAGACTGTAAATGCAAAGAAACCAAACAGTTTTAGTACAGAGTACAATACGTATTTCTATAGACGCTATAAATAAGTGCATTTATCTTCTATTCAGTAAGTTAATGTTTTTATATAGAAAGTATTAAAGTTGTATAAACTGTATGGGTAAAATACAGTGTATTCCAGTTTAGTATAAAAAAAATGTCATACTGATATTCTCCAGGAAATGAACAATACCAAGTTTTTACTAGTTTCTGAAACACGGTGACTTTTTTTTTATTTCTTTTATGGTGATAATCATACTTTTACTACAGCTGGTTTGTTGGAGACCACTCAATTTATTTAAGCATTTTAATTGAAAAACTCCACTCCCCCCCAAATAAAAATAAAGCTCTGGTGGTAAGCTAATGAAATTAACACGGCAGTAATGTCATACATGTAAAAAACTAGGATACTTCAGATTAAACAACTTATTTGTTTATTTATCTTTAAACTAATTGAATTTCGTTTAGATTTCGTTTTTTGTTTGAATTTCGCGCAAAGATACACGAGGGCTATCTGCGCTAGCCGTGCCAAATTTAGCAGTGTAAGACTAGAGCTAGTCATCACCACCCACCGCAACTTTTGGGTTACTCTTTTACCAACGCATAGTGGGATTGACCGTAACATTATAACGCCCACACGGCGGAGATTCGAACCCGCGACCTTCAGATTGCGAGTCGTGCGCCCTAACCACCTGGCCATGCCGGGCCGTAGATTTCGTATAGTAATGTATAAAATCTAAAAGGACAGAATTTTATTTTACACAAAACAACACACACATATATATATATATGTGTGTACTAATTTTTGTCATAGAATAATCAAAAAATAAAACGTGACTCTAAATTAAAATCCCTAAATTAATTTAAATAATAATTCTTAACCAAAATGATATAGAATGATGAATTTTTGGTAAATTGGGGTAAATAATTGTCAAAATTATACCTTCCCTAGCAAATATTCTGTAGTACTTTGTTTATTGTTAAGCAAAAAAAGAAACACTATAGGCTATCCGTGCTCTGCCCA